AATCATAAATAGTGTTAGATAAAATAAAAATGAGAACAAATGAAAAAATATAAAAAATATAATGAGGGTGATTTAAATCGTGCTAGATTCACGCGTAGACTATGTAAAATTATATAACAAATAGTTAATAAAAAAAAGAATGTAAAGCAGATACAAAAAAACGGGATACTAACATTTCTTTAATTATTATTCGTAAATTGTTATTGGCAAACATATTGCGCACACCTGCAGACACTATTTTGGCACCCGCAATTGGGGTAGCATGGTGCGGTATCATGTGAGTTCCAGCAAACATTTCCATAATAATAGCGCTTGTCTAAAACATTAGAAGTGTCTTCTATGGCATTAAAGGTGTCTTCTATGGGGGTTGCTATAACACCAACAGTAAAGATCGCAAAAATAATCAAAAAGAGTACAAGATGAAGTTTTTTCATTTTGCGTGTTTTGTCTACTTCATTAAATTTCATCTTCTTTTATAATGAAATTTAAATCACGAACTATCCAATCCGATAAAAACTCTACTCCATCATTAGAATTGCTAAACAAATCTGCATCACTTCTCATTACAGCATTAATAAGGAAAAGGCTTTCTAAAATTGTATTATCTATCTTATGTAAATATAAATCACTGCACATGAGTATTTTGTGAGAAAACATTATTACGCGTATACATTATTGATTCTAATTCTGATGATATAAATTCTATAATAAGAAAATGAATAATCTTGATTCAAAATACTGTAATCACTTTCGACATAAAGTAGTTCCCAATAGCACAATCTATTTATTAAAAATTTATAAATAGCAATTCATAGTCAATTATCTTATAAAATGAACTTATAATTTTGGTATGATGAATGATAATAATTGCTACAATATACAGAACAAATAACTAACTTGTTAAATCGTTATATGGGGTGATATCAATAGAAACAGCCCATTTTTACAAATTTTTGAAAAATGAGTTTTTATTAGATTCATATAAATTTTGACATGAGCAACATTTATCAATTATAAATGAAAGTCGATTTGCATAATAAAAAATCGAGATAATGTAAAAGAAAAATTACATGAGGCTTCGTAGGGCCAACACATCACGAGATTACCCGATAGTCACCTGCTACCTTTAACCAATCAAAATCGTGAAATTTGTTAATCCCGGATCAGTCCGAAAATCAAAACACCCATATAAGCAAGTTTTCTAGTGAAGATTAAAAGTGTGTTACAAGAGATTTTATAAATCTATTTCTTGGCAAACTCTAAATACATTTCTTGGCAAAAGGTCTTAGATACGGTCAGCGTAACTATGTAACGTTACTTGTTTTTAGTTATTATCGGATTTAAATTGTCCAGCATATAATAAAACTGAAACACAAATATCTTAATCTGGGATATTAAACGATAAAGTTTAAATTTAAGGTAGAATGATGCGTTGGAGTGCTCTATAAATTATGTAAATGTGGTATAATATAAAAATTTAATACCAAATATTTTTTACGTTCGTGAAATTTGATATGAGGTTGATAAATGACTGATTTTCAGAAAATCATAAAACCAAATATAATTTTGATTTACATAGTATAGTAAAAACTAGGGTTGTTAATGGAGTACTCCATGATATAATAAAACATATAAACCACCCCAGATGTAAACTGGAGTGGTTTATATGTTTTATTATAGCATGGAGTACTCCATTAACAACTCTAATAAAAACCCAGTGATACGTACAGTATAAGGGTACTTTAAAATTTATAATAATATAGATGATAATAAAGAATACTTCGAATGATATAGAAAATTGAGAATACAGGTTAATAGATATTAAATAAAGTTTCGGGTCCAACATTGGTATTGAACACCATAGTTACTATATCTTAAAACCGTACTAGCTATCACACCTCAGGAGAACTCAGTAAAAATGTTCAGAACCTCCAAAAACCTTATGCTAATTAAAATTTGAACCTTTAATTCTAACCCTAAATTTTAGCAAAAGCTTATTAACACCATAAACACTACAGGCGCATTTTATATTAATTGTAAAGTTTAAGAGTTAAATAATAGATAAATAGATTTAATAATAAAGAATAATTAAATAAACATGAATTTAGTTTACAATATTTCAATATATAAATATTTAATATTTTATAAATCAAAAGAACTTTATTAAAAAAGAAAATAAATCTTTAAATAACTTATAGCCAATTTAGTTATACTACGCAATCTTTAGAACAATCTTTTTGCTATTAGTGAATTATTTAATTAGTTATATAAACCAAAAACATATGAGATAGTATTAATAATTTTATCTAATTTGGGCTTATAAATTAACTATCGTCATGATTTCAAAACTGATTCAAAGCCTGGAAACAATGCTTTTTTCTAATTGCATATTTCAAATCTTATAAACAAATTAGCAATTATATTATATCTATATCTGTTCTTTAGTTTGTGCTAGCAAGAGGTTTTTAATAGTCGTTTTGTTGGTTGTAGGTTGCAAAAAAAACCTAGTTGATTTTTAGAATTTTGAAGATATAAAAATAATGTTTCACATTTGGTGCTTAAGCTAAACTTAGTATATATAATTAGTATTATAAATATACTTTTAGCAAATAGGCTCTATGGTTAATACGAGCTAAGCTTGTTGGGATTATGACCCTGTAGAGATTTTGTTTGTCAGGATTTTAGCTTGTAAACATTTTTACACGATTAAACCCTTCTATATTGCAGCTACAATTTCAAATAAAAACTAGTATGTAATATTTGTTTGTGGGTATAACAATCTTTGACAGGGACAGCAAAATAAAACTTGCCAAGTTTTTTTTAATGATTTTTTAACCTCTCTTCAAGTAACGTATCTTCATTTCTTTATACTTCTTGCAAATCATATTTATAACTTTGATGTAAATATCAGAATAATATGAGAGCCGTGAAAGCTAGAAAGAAATGATCACACGAAATGTAAACGCAATTAAGATTTAATAAGATACAACATATACGTGTAATGCATGGTGCGATATATACATTTACATATTCTACAAATTGAGTATTAATCATAAATAATTATATAATAAGATATTATCCAAATTTCATATTTTAGATAATTCTTGATAATGTTCAAATACATTTGGGGGTGAGTCAATAAAAATCAAGCAAATTGTTTTATTGATATTTTTTAAAACTTTATATTACCAATAACTTAACCAAAACTTGATAAATTTTTTTAAATAAATTCTATAAGTTTGTAGAATTTATTTAAAAAAAATTTTATTAAATTTGATTAAATTTTTGTTAAGTTATTGTTGTTTAAAGTTTAAAAAAAATTTACTTATTATAAAAAATTTGCTTGATTTCTATTGACTCAACCCCATTTTTTAATCTTTGTGTACAGTATTAAATCATTGATTGTGATTTAAAAATACAGTAAATATGACAACCTGGGGTTTGCCTCTTTATAAAATCTATCTCAATGCTTCGGATATAAAAATACATACTGTATTGACAGAGAATTATCAAAATCAAGATGGTAAAGAATCCGGAAAAACGACAAAAATTCAGAAATATCGATAAAAATGCTAAAAATAAACATTATCGATCTTGAGTTATTGTAATTGAAATAGCAATAGTAATTATAGTAGCAATTGCAATAGCATAGCAATAGCAGTATCACTTGCAATAGCTATACCACAATACCAGCAGTATTTAATAAAATCAATGTCAACAGCAATATCAAATATCTATAAAATTTTTACAAAAATAAACAAATGAAACTTTTCTTTCCTTTAAATTGCAAGTATATTTTTTCCGTAAATCTCCTGCACGAAGATGTTGCAAACTATAAAAAGGTTAATAGTCTAATCCATGTATGTATACGTACAATCATTCATTTAAATATACAAATAGATCAGCTAAAACTGAACATCTTTAAATAGCTTAATAGTTTCTTTTCGTAATAGAAAAATATACATGATGTAAAGTTAGGCGATTTTTTAAAAAAAAATATTTTTTGTACATTAATTTAATTGAATTTAATTATTTTATTATTTTTATTTTATAATAAAAAAATATACACGATGCAAAGTTAGACGATTTTTTAAAATAAATTTATATTTCGTGTATTAATTTAATTTGATTTAATTATTTTATTATTTTTATTTTTATTATTATTATTTTTATTTTTAGGGCGATCTAGTTATTGCCCCATGCACTTTGAACCCCTACTATAAAATTACTAATATTTTAAATTTTGACTAGGTAATCCTGTCGTGTAACATAAGCAAAAATGTCCCTCGCGCAATTTTACATTACCCTACCCTAACCATAATTCTATTCGTAACATGACCCTAATTTCTATTGCACGCTCAATTTTACTATAGGGCACATTGTGCATGGGTGCATTGTTCATTAAATTTTTCCTTATTTTTATTTTTTATTTGTAGTAATAAATACATTTTATACATAGTTTTGAATTATTGCAGTATTAATTTGACGATCACAAACAGTGTACAAAATTTTCGGCAATATAATTTTTTTTCGAAAAGCATTTTTCCCTAACCGGAATTTAGAAACCGTAGCCGGTGTGATGCATATTAACGCGGCATTTGTAATTAAGCTTTTGTGTAACGCTATAGTTTATAGTCACAGGGTCTACTTTAATTAGACTTTTATATTGCTATATTAAGCTATACTACATTTGCGTAGATAGTATATAGTTAATTTAAGTCTAATAATATGAGTGTCGCTAAAAGAAAACCCGACAATTTATATATAGGTCATATTTAAATTGTCGGGTTTTCTTTTAGCGACACTCATATGTATATAAATAGGGATATTCTTGTAAATAAAGTAGTAGTACTTCTTTTGTTTAATGGAATTAGAGGATATTTTAGGGGATTCTTGTCGTAACACCGAAGTTATTATTAGAAATGACGGAAATTTTCCGTTTGTTGAAAATCGGAGCGGAAATTGTCTTACGCAGACGGAATCTCCGTCATTTTCAATAAGTTTTGTGCTCTGATCACAAAGCTAATGTTTGTGGGTCATGAGATGTACATAAGAATGTTTATTATATACCAAAATTGGATGTGATTGTACGAATATACAGTATCCCCTGTTATGCTAATTAGTTTAATTCAGGAAAAATTAATAATTTCATAATTCATGTCGAATTTCATTCTAACTGCTAATATATTTTATTGCTAAGTTCATAGTTATATGGAGTTAAATGAAAGATCAATTGCGAACATTCATTGTGGTCTTTGACGATCAGTGATTATCAATTCATCTGTCCGATAAATAATCCGC